CTCCCCCCCTCTCTCCCCTCCCACCAGGCGCTCGTACTTGAAGAACCAGCGACCTGGAGGACCGGACCCAACCGGACAAGATCGCGACTTTGACAACGTGTAGAGCTTCCCTTTACAACTTGATTGCTGTCTTCCCCTTAGCTTGTATATGCATAATATATATAATATATGTGAGGCAGCGTGGTGGAATCAGGCTCTCGTCAAAATATTCAAAGTGAAGGAACTTGCATTTTTCCGCAGGTTTGTGAAGTTTTATCAAATTTTTGTTTTTTGGCTCAAAACCTTCCAGGCCCATTAAAGAACTAATTTCTGTGTGGATATTTCTGAAAAAAGTTGATTAAAGGCACAAAAATTTTTAACTTTCTGTACCACGGACTCTCAAGCCAAGGAAATAACCAATCTTTGGCCGCCATTTTCTCAATAAGTTTACCTGTGAAAACAGGTGACCCCCACCTCCTTCATTAACAAATATCTCTATTTGTATTCAAGATAAATGGACATTTTTGTCATCCAAATAAAAGACAAATGAACAAGCTTTAAGATGATACCAATAACTCTGCATGCCCCAAAATTGAGGAGAGCCTGAGTCCACCGCGCTGCCTCACATTTGTACATGTAGTCTTCAAAGTGCCATGGAGGATTAGTTCTCTGATATAGCCGAGGACACTAAACCGACATCTGTACGTGAGACCCTCAGATTTTCTTTGGTTAAGCCGAGTTTCAGGTTCAATGAGGCTGCTCATATCATCATCATCATCATCATCATCATCATCATCAGCATCAGCATCATCATCATCATTATCAGCATCAGCATCAGCATCATCATCATCATCATCATCATCATCAGCATCGTTATCATCATTATCAGCAGCAGCATCAGCATCAGCATCAGCATCATCATCATCATCATCATCATCATCATCATCATCATCATCAGCATCGTCATTATCATCAGCATCATCATCATCATCATCCAGTGCCAGATCTGCGACAGACATCGGCGATCATGGTTCTCCATTCCTTCCTTTGCTCGGATGCTCTTTTAAAAAGCTACGTTTCCCTGATCTTTCCCTGTCACCCATTTGTTTAGGTTCCCTGATTACGTAACTCTGGACCTACCACTGGCCTCTTTTGCCTTCAATTTTGCCTGTGAGAGCTAGATGCTCATATAAAAGAAACAAATCGGGAATTATATGTGAAGTGTGCTGACAAAATGAGTTACGTCTCAGATTTTAGCCCGAAGGAAATAGAAACATCAAATGTATAGGTTGAAGTTTTACAATGTATCAGCATGAAATGATAAAAAGACTTGTTAAACTTGAAGAGAATGGCATTGGTTTAGAGTCTACAAATATAACCCTTGTGTTGATTTTTGGCTGATATCTCCATTCATGGATTGCGAGAAGTAACTCATTTTGTTAGCGTGCCTCACATATTTTCTTTAGGTCAACCGCTGTTTTCCGATTATCCGTGTTTGGCTTACGTGGGCTCCGTACCCTACCTCACTCTACAGTCTTATGTTGTGTGCCTTTGAGAAGTAAATTGATTTATAGTATAGATTGTGATACAATATATTATTTTATACCTCTCTGTACTTTTGAAAAGTAAATTAATTTATAGTATAGATTGTGATACAATATATTATTTCATACCTCTCTGTACTTTTAAAAAGTAAATTAATTTATAGTATAGATTGTGATACAATATATTATTTCATACCTCTTTGTACTTTTAAAAAGTAAATTGATTTATAGTATAGATTGTGATACAATATATTATTTTATACCTCTTTGTACTTTTGAAAAGTAAATTGATTTAAAGTATAGATCGTGATGTAATATGTGAGACGTGCTGACAAAATGATTCACTTCTCGCAATCCACAAATGGAGATATTGGCCAAAAATCAACAGTAGGGTCAAACTTGCAGATTTTCCATTGATGCTATAGATATATATTCTTTAACTATAACCTGTCTTTTATTGTTTCATACTTTTAGACTGTAAAAACTTCACCTATAAGCGTGATTTATCTATTTCTTTAAGGCTTGAATATAAGAAGTAACTCGTTTTGTCAGCACGCTTCACAATACTTATATTATTCTTTACCTATCTGTACCTTTGAGAAGTAAATTTATTTATACTATAGATTGTGATGTAATATATTATGATATTATTTTATACCGCTCTGTTTTGATTTATTTTGTGAACCTTTGACAATTAAATATGGTCAAAGTATGGATTATGATACATCTAGTATTAATTTTTATTATTGTTATAATAATAATAATAATAATAATAATAATAATAATAATAATAATAATAATAATAATGATTATTATTATTATTATTATTATTATGATTATGATTATGATTATGATTATTATTATTATTGTGGTTGCTGTTAGTAATATTCTTATTATTGGTATTCTCCTTCTCCTTCTCCTTCTCCTTCTCCTTCTCCTTCTTCTTCTTCTTCTTCTTCTTCTTCTTCTTCTTCTTTTTCTTCTTCTTCTTCTTCTTCTTCTTCTTCTTCTTCTTCTTCTTCTTCTTCTTCTTCTTCTTCTTCTTCTTCTAGTATTATTATTATTATTGATATTATCAATATTATTATTATTTTTGAGATCTGAATTTGCTCCTAGATTATATAACGTCTAATTATTCTGACCCTCACTCTCCCGCGTCTTGTTTTATTTTGAAACATTCTGTGACCACTACGGTGAGAACCGATTTGTTCCAATCATTTTGTTTTTTGTTTTATTGAGATTTGATTTTCTCGATACTTTTGTTATTTATCTAGTTATATATATAGAAGTTGTATTTTCATTATTTTATAGTAGTTGAAATAGGGTGACATTTTGTATGCTGCTTAAGTTGAACAATTTAATTAGTACCAGTAGGTTTAGAGTTTGAATTTTCATGTGAATGTTTTTCCTGGAATCTTTTTCAAACTATCGTTTGTTGTGTCTATATTTGGCTACCCCAGAATCTCTCTAACCCCCGGGGCGGTGCCACGGACTGAAGTGTCTTTAGGCCATTCCCAAATGGGGGACGTTTCTTGTCGTTGTGCACAGTAGAATTGTAAATGGGCTGATCCAACAATGTCATGCTTATAACTGTGCCTGATCTACAACAGGGAACTGCTGCTTTTTCTTTCCAAATCCTTACTATCGTCATTTTCCTCTACTTCTTTCGTTTGTTTGTCACTCTCTTGTGACCTGCTATTTCCGGGGTGCCTTGATAGTCGAAGCAGACCTTGTGCTGTTGAAGCTAGAGAGGTGAGCAGTTGAAGTCTGATTCCCTGTAAAGACTTCTCTGTTGACACCCACCCCTTGGCGCTCATATGACCTTATGCAGTTGCGAACGCCGTAAAACCCTCTACTATAAAAAAAAAAGAATATCTCTCTTGCCCTTTTTAACTCCCAGTGGAGCATAGGCCATCAACAACATTTCTCCAGCGAAGCCTGTCCTGTACATCCTTTTCTATCTGTTTCCGTGATGTCACTGCCTTTTCCCTTCCCGCTTGTACCGCTTGCCTCCACGTCATCTTTGGTCTTCCTTTCTAACGTTGCCCAGAATCTAGCTTTGAGAAATTGGACGTCAAAGATTTTGTGTTTCATAACATGTTAACATGTCAAGCTTTTTCAAATGCAATTCTTTGAACACAGTGGAAACCACATAAAACAGGCCCGGTTAAAACAGGGATCCGGTAATAACAGGGTTTTTTAAATCCCCGTTTTTTCCAACTCTTTGTCTCTATTAAAAGTTATCAGCATCAGAGCCGAATCGGTTATAGCAGGGACAAAGGCTCGTTAACAATGTGTAAAAAGTAAGTGAGAAAGAGAGAGTGAGAGAGTGAGAGAGGGGGAGAGAGAGAGAGAAAGAGAGAGAGAGACATAGAGAGAGAGAGAGAGTAACGCAGTGATGAAGCATGCCCACGCAAGCCACGCCACTGCAAAAACACGCAACGGGTGACGCGAGAGAGGACTGCGGTGTGCTGCAGACCTCAATCTAGCCCCACCTTGAAGAAATACAGCTGGATTAATCCGGAAAAGCTTACTTTCCTTGCATTTCTGATTTAACAGGGATCTGATATAACAAGACATTTTCTCTGGTCCCACCATCCCTGTTATATCAGGTTTCCACTGTATCTGAATAACGACTCTGAATAATCTCACGACTTTGATAGAGTGGATAAAACATTAATCTAGTTTCTGATCACATGCTCTCAGTAACTGAAAATGGGCAAAAATGTCGGATAGAACTTCGTAATTCTGAAGTAGCGATTTGTTTTGCTGTTAGTTTAACCCTATCCGTACGTCCTGGAGTCATTTTGTACCCCCGGGGTTGTATTCTTCACATTTTAGAATACTTTTAGTACGAAGATCTCTTCGAAACTTTGAGTATTTCTCAAAAAATCATTTTGACTGTCTGCTAAGCAAAGTGTACGGATCGGATTAACGAGTAAATTTGCTCTTTGGAAAATGGTGGCACAGAGTTTCCCACGTCGTATGGATACGATAGTAAAACGCGACGTATGGAAAGGGTTAAGTGGTGGCACAGAGCTCCCCACGTGGTATGGATACGATAGTAAAACACGACGTATGGATAGGGTTAAGTGGTGGCACAGAGCTCCACACGTCGTATGGATACAGTGGTAAAACACGACGTATGGATAGGGGTAAGTGGTGGCACAGAGCTCCACACGTTGTATGGATACGATAGTAAAACACGACGTATGGATAGGGCTAATGTGATGTGTATGAAGGTCTGTGGTATGTAATCTGTAACAGTGACAATCCTATCTCTGTGACAATCTTATAATAATAATAATAATAATAAATAGCATTTATAGTGCACATTTCCATTTTCTTTTTAAAAAATGCTTTATGCGCATTACAACGAAAAGACATCACATCTTCAAAATAAATCGACATGTGTGTACGTAAAACAAAGTATTATACATATAATATAAATGTATACATGTAAAAATGTCTCTGTGATAGTGACAATACTGGTACCATATCTTACTTTTCTTACTCCTGGGTCTTTCTACTTTCTAACTCAATCATGTCGGTGGTCAAGTGGTTAGACTCGCAACCGTAAGGTCGTGGGTTCGAATCCCGTCAGGGGCCCGACGTTGTGTCCTTGGGAAAGGCACTTTACACCCATTTTCCTCACTTCACCCAGGTGGGAATGGGTACCCGACT